GAACTCCTGACCTCAAGTGATCCACCCACCTCAGCCTCCCAGAGTGCTGGGATTACAGGCATGAGCCACTGTGCCTGGCCATTACCTGAAGAATCTTTATATGAGCAACATGGTAAAGCCAAGAAAGCATTATCTGTTCATGCATTTCAGGTAGAAAGAACTTGCAAACTAACAGGATAAAATTTCTATTTTAAGTGCATAATTCTGTATGTATACTTTCTTGAGATCATGACTATTAATAGTTCATCAATATCCCTTATTGTGTATGTGTACAGTTTATTTTCAGTGAGTAAATGATCTTTCAAATGATTTTAACTCATATTTGTAACTTGGGGATAGACACATTTATTCCTTGCTTATAATTCTTTGAAATCACCAAAAGAAAATTACTATTCTTATCTTGGCATTATTGATATTCTTTATTAAAATAAAATGGTTTTTGTCTTTTAGAGAATGTCTGTTTGGTGTGGCCAGGGGTTAGGGGGAAGGAGGTGTTTGCATTTTTGGCTTTACGTGACTTTCCAAAAGCCCCAGTAGCTCACAGTCAAGGTCAAAGCATATAACTGTTCTTGTGTATCAGGAAGTCTTTTATTTAAAAAACTCAATTATTTAGTATGCTAAAGCAATTGTACAGCCAGAGGAACTTAGGGTCAAACTTAAAGCCAAAGAGCTTGGAAAGGTTTACTTTATTTCTGATAATGAGGACCTGGAAAAGAGAATAAAATAATCCATCTAAATTTCTTAACATTGGAGACGAATCCCTGCCTTACATTGCCAATTATACAGCTTTGCACCTGCTCCCCTTGTTTGCTCATCCTCCCATAGTTCTTGTCCCAGATATCACCTGCTCAGAAGGCTTCACTTCCTTCAGACACTCCAGGATCACAACTACAAGCCACTAAGCCTTGTAGACTTCCCTGTACACAATTCCAAACAATCTCATTCATTAAACCAAAGGATTGCTTGAGCCTTGAGCCTGAGAAGTCAAGGCTACAGTGAGCCAAGATCACGCTACTGCACCCCAGCCTTGGTGACAGAGAAACACTGTTTCAAAGAATAAAAAAAATAAAGCTCCCATGGAAAAATAAAATTCCAGGAAATTCCCCCTCTGTTTACCTTTTATTAACTAAAAAATAACGCATTTCCGATTTTAACATACCCTCTGGATGAAGTAGACTGCTCCTGCAGGACTCAGAAGATCCCCCAAAACTGTGAGTGCCCCAACTGCAGAAGTGGGAAAGGGAAACTCTCCTCTCCTGAACACACACATGCACTGGAGAAGATGAAGTTCTAACTTGCAGAAGTTTCTCACTTTATCAGGAGCTGAGTCAGTTTGGACAGCCAAGTGAAATACAGGGGTAGAGAAAGCAGCAAAAAGGTCCTGGGTGCTCGCTGGGTCCCCAAGCAGCCCATTCCTGCCTGGCAGCACAGGGATCCATCAGGAGGGTGGCCAGAGAAGCAGGGGATAAAACTCCACAGGGATGAACTTTGTAACAATTTGAGCCGGGTGAACAGCCTCCTAGCCAGAACTCATGGGAGGGTGCAAATCCGGTGTTCAGACGCCACAGGTGGGGGAAGAACCAAGCCCTTTTCTTTCAAAGCTGGAAGGAGGATAACCTGGGGCAGGTTTTCAAGCCCATATTGCGCTCTGCCTGGAAACAGTCTTGGGGCTGTTGGGTAGGGTGGGCACAGTGCGAATGAGACGGGTCCTTCGATTTGCATGGGAGCTGCATGAGGCCTGTGACTGCCAGCTTTCCCCCACTTCCCTGACAACCAGGATGACTCAGCAGAGGCAGCCATAATCCTCCTAAATACACAACTCCAGTGACCTGGGAACCTCACCCCCATCCTCCACAGCAGCAGCAGCAACAAGACCTGACCAAGGAGAGTCTGAGCTCAGACACGCCTAGTTCTGCCTCCACCTGATGATTCTTCCCTACCCAGCCTGGTATCAGAAGACAAAAGGCATATAAT